GCAGTAGCGCTAATGGAAAGGCTCTGACCGATGGCAATCGTCTACAAAATAAAAATCACGCAACCGGGCAAAGCAGCGACATTGAGTGTGACAAAACTCGGACAACTAAAGTCGTTACACCTATATTACCGCCAGTGGATATTTCCTTCTGCGACTATGATGACTACGATGACACACTCGCGTCAGTGTCGGAGCTAACTCACGATGGACCCTTGGTAAGTTTAGCCACTGCTGATGGAGCTGCCGATCTGGCAACTGTCAACGCTAAACGTTTGTATGAACGGGAATTGATACCAACGGATGTCAAATCTGATGAACAATTGGACTTTACACAATTTGAAGCGAAATTTAATAGCAGCGTTGAAGCTTTGTGGAAGGATGCTGGTAGTGATGAGGAGAAGGGATTCAAACCAATTGGCAATGGTAATAAAATGCAAGTATTCGGCTTTGGCAGTGGCAGCAGCACACACTTTTCCGGTCCCGCTTCGCTGCCATTCGATGTGCCATTTTCACAAAATGTAAAAAATTTCTGGGCAAACTATTATAATCATCATTTTGATTTGAGTAAAATGTTGCCGACTAGCGTAATTGGCCAGAAAGCAAAGGAACTGGATGTAGTGATGCAACGGAAAGCTAATGATATGGGCAGAGGCGGTGCTTTCAAGGTGAGTTGTACAAAAATCAAAGTTTTAATTTAATCGGATACAAAATTCATAAAGCATAAAGTATAAAGTCAATGTAAACCTCATAAACTGTACAAAATTTTCAACATATACAATTTTTTTAAGTAATTTATAAGTTCCCAGTTTTAATATGTACTTCAATAGTGTCACAACTCAAAAAAACAGCAATCGAGATAAACGGCTTTAAAGTTTTAAGTTTACATTTCGTCACCTTAGTTCACACAGCCCCTAACTAACAAGTGTTTTTATTTTACAGGAGAAGTAAAAAAACATTATAATATATGAGTATATTNCTACTCATTCAACGGTATAAAGTCAATGTAAACCTCATAAACTGTACAAAATTTTCAACATAAAATATTTTTTTATAAGTAATTTATAAGTTCCCAGTTTTAATATGTACTTCAATAGTGTCACAACTCAAAAAAGCAGCACTCGAGATAAACGGCTTTAAAGTTTTGAGTTTACATTTCGTCACCTTAGTTCACAAAGCCCCTAACCGTTTTTTTATTTTACAGGAGAAGTAAAAAAACATTATAATATATGAGTATATTATATTATATGAGTATTAAAAACAGGTAGGGCTTTTTAAAAAGTGGCATGTAACTCCGTTGTTTTTTTTTTTGGTACTAACATTTCAAAATTTTTATTGAAGGTGTATTTTAATACATCCTACCAAAATATGTGGAAAACCCAGTTTCGAAAAAAGTGATGGTTTGGGCCTTTGTGAATTAAGGTAACGAATACTCCCATAATAAAACTGAATACATATTTTATTCTAGTGAGATAGTGGTAATGATACAGCTATAAAATGTTTACATAACATAGAAGAAGAGGTAGTGGTAATTTTTGGCATATTTACTTATATCAAAATTTATAAATTTTGGATTGACACTATTGAAGTAAATGAGCGATATGTACACTATTAAGTTGAAAATCCTTTTGCTCCTACTCTGCTGAATGGCAGTATATTTGTATCATTACAAAGCCTATGAAAAAATTGTTTTCTCTTTTATTTTTCATTTAAATGTGTTTAGCCTAATGGTGGCTTTTTAAGTGATGATGCTCCTCANATTGTTTTTTTTTTGGTACTAACATTTCAAAATTTTGATTGAAGGTGTATTTTAATACATCCTACCAAAATATGTGGAAAACCCAGTTTCGAAAAAAGTGTTGGTTTGGGCCTTTGTGAATTCAGGTAACGTATACTCCCATAATAAAACTGAATACATATTTTATTCTAGTGAGATAGTGGTAATGATACAGCTATAAAATTTTTACATAACATAGAAGAAGAGGTAGAGGTAATTTCTGCATATTTACTTATATCAAAATTTGTAGATTTTGGATTGACACTATTGAAGTAAATGAGCGATATGTACACTATTAAGTTGAAAATCCTATTGCACCTACTCTGCTGAATGGCAGTATATTTGTATCATTACAAAGCCTATGAAAAAATTGTTTTCTCTTTTATTTTTCGTTTAAATGTGTTTAGCCTAATGGTGGCTTTTTAAGTGATGATGCTCCTCAAAAGCCTAACAATTTCTCTAGAGCCCCAGCTGACGTAACCATAGCAGCGCCTACTACCACTAGCGACTATTACTCGATGCCCAGCAATTTAGACAACTTGAACAATGCGAAATTACTGCGTTGCGGTATGCGTCACAAAAGCGGCTGTAGTGACTGTAGCATCGGTGCGGGTATGGGCAGAGGTGGTACAATTGGAGAAGAGCGAAAAACACCGGTGGCGCTCTTTTTACAGAGTTCGATTTGGTCGGAAAATGCTAATCTGGATGGTGGTGACACAGATGAGAGTTTCTACTTTAAAGTGCACAACTCTGGCAAGCAATTAAATCAATATAACGCCGCTGGTAATAACAGTATGCGGGAACAGAAAATGCAAGGCGGTTCTAATACTGGTGGCAGCTTTGGTTTTACAGCTACGTATACATCGTCTAAATGGTCAGAGGGCATAAATGCCGGACCGCCACAAAATAATTNCGGTACAATTGGAGAAGAGCGGAAAACACCCGTGGCGCTCTTTTTACAGAGTTCGATTTGGTCGGAAAATGCTAATCTGGATGGCGGTGACACAGATGAGAGTTTCTACTTTAAAGTGCATAACTCTGGCAAGCAATTAAATCAATATAACGCCGCTGGTAATAACAGTATGCGGGAACAGAAAATGCAAGCCGGTTCTAATACTGGTGGCAGCTTTGGTTTTACGGCTACGTATATATCGTCTAAATGGTCAGAGGGCATAAATGCCGGACCGCCACAAAATAATTTGATAATGGCGCCACCACAGCAGATGACACATAAGCAGGGCACAAATCTGAAGGATAATTTTAATATATCTCTTAGAGGTACCGATTGTACTGACTCCTCGCCCACTGCTTCATTTTCCACCACTTCAGGCACTAATTGGCAACAGACAAAAACCAATGCAAACACTGATTTGCAAAATACATGGCCACCTGGTATATCACCCAGCGTTGAAAAAATACGCGAGACAAATACATCACATCGTGCCCCGACACGTGACGCCATCATCGAGAACACGCCGACAGTAACACTTGCGAATCATTCGTCTGCAAACAGTGGCTTTATTGAATATTCACGCATCAAATCAGTCCCACAGTTCCAATTGTCCAGCCAAGACAATGCATCCAGCGCCAACTTAGCTAAGGAGCAACTTCCGCGAAATTATCCGCCCCATGCCAATAGCAAAGAACAACAACAGCAACGTTGTGCGCTCGATATGATAGATGATAGCGAAAACCTATTGACTTCCGAGCGCACACATTTCCATCCGATTAGATCGTACGTAGATGGTCATACCTTCGATATTTGCAGCGAACTAGATGTCATAGAGTATGAACGTTCGGCTAGCGGCTATCTTTACCTCGAGCAAGATAAATATCTCGAGTATACGCGAACGGACAATTTCATGGTGGAGGACGATGGTGGCGTTGGCGCCTCAGCCAACCCACTGTATGCAAATTCAAATTGTGAGGCTGCCACAGCCAGCGCCAGTGCAAATTACAAAAACGCCATCGGCAATAGCAAATCGAAACGAATCGAACGAGATTTTGTTATCAAATTCCGCCTGCAACGCACGGAGATCGCTTGCCAAACGGATGCAGAGCCCCCAACCGCACGTGCTGTGATAACCGCAAGCAAACGTTTCAGTACAATGAGTTTAACGGCAACATCGCAGCCGCATCCACTTAGCTTAATTTTCTCGAATGCGGCAAAAAATTTGAAAGCGAACGCAGCTAATGAACTTGTGTACAGCGATACTGTCGAGGCATTTACTCGCGCTATTGCACATTGCCCGCCACCACCTCCACACACGGCGAGTAACTCTACTTGGCTACCATTGGGGGCTGCTGATTTTGGCGGACAACAATCGGCTAATCGCAATTGGAAATTCTATCAGCAGCAGTCCAAGGTGTGCAAAAATACCAAAAAGAATACGAGCAACCTGAAAAGCCACACTAATGATTACGATGATGATGACGATGAAGCTGGCTGCGATGAGGTAGATTTCTATGGCAGTGCCGCTGACGTTGCCGATATGAACCATCGTAGCGCCATGGAATTCATTGATACCGATGTAGACATGATTAGTTTAGAACAACAATGGTCCATGAATGAAATACGCAAAAAGTGCAAAGAAGCTGGCCATATGGCTACCTATGCAAGTGCGAATAATAATAATAATGCCAGTGGTGCTGGTGATGCCGCCGCCGACGGTGTCATCGAATCTGTTTGGGGAATGTGTGCCGCCTGTAACAGTGAACTGAAATCCATACCGGCCAACAGGTTGCTGCGTGATGAACTTCAAGTGGAGGCCGATGAGATAATGAGCGATCTGAAATATATGCAAGATTTATACATAGGACGTGCTGGTGATGCAAATGATGCTGATGATGAAGATGAAGGCTGTGCGGATGATGACAGTGGCGCCGACACGGTGACAAGTGACAGCGATTGGTGTAACGAAGATGTAACAGCCGAACTTGCGGAAGAAGGTTCAGTGAAGCCAATGCCAAGTGTAGAACTTGCAATACGTCAGGCAGACTCTACGAGCGCTGATAAAGTTGCTNACAGATATATCAGTTGCCACTTGTCACAAAATTTGTAAATTTTCACAATTTGGCATTTATAGGCAGTTACTCGCAAGCGACGACACTCGGCATCACAAAATTATTTCCACGCGCAACTGAATAATAGCATAGGCCCAGCTGCTGGCAATAGCAGCGGTGGCAACGCGTCACTTATGCAGAACAATAACAACAATGAAATCGCCGATTTAAATAACTATGTGTTGAAGTCGTCGTCGTCGAATGCCAATGAGTTGAGTTTTCAAAATTTGCTTAACGTTTCGCTGCGTTTTGGTGCCGCTGCGGCCGCTGCCGTTGCCGCTTCTAATGCCAAGAAAGATATTGTATATGGTTGCGATGCAACTGCAGCGGCTGCAAGAAATCATACGATCATTACCTGCAAATACCACTTGACTGCAATCGAACCGCTGTCAATGCACAATGATGACGATGGTATCGATGATGTTGGTTTATTTGGTAGTGGTAACAATGGCAGTGGCATCACAGCGGCACCGCTTTCGTGCCTCATCGACAAGAACCAATCCATATTGAAGCATGTAACCATGGTGTCTCGACCGTTGACGCGTTAAAATCATCTTCAGGCTGTCTCAGTAACTAAAAAAAAAAAAAAGGTATGCATATTTAAACTTGCTGTGATATTAAGTCGTTGCTTAATTTTTTACAAACTTGAAAAATAGCTTTGCAACAGTTGATTCAGCCCACTTTCTTATCAGCATCTTTACCACATACACATTTAGTATTTTTCTGCTCCTAATTATCTTTTCATTTGAAATCCTATACCTGGTAGCGAAGCTACCACTTGACTCCCGAATCGCTCAACGTAGTTCGATGTTGGTCTTCCCATGCGCATGGCTGACCTGTCACAGGCAGTGGAGGAGTTTTGGTCCGCTGGTGGTACCTTCGACTGACCGCTATGCTAAGTCGTTCCGCCAGCTTAGTGACCTGGTCGACGACCTCGTGCTCTCTCTTAAGCACCTGTAAGTAGAGGTAGTAGTAGAAAACCCCGTGCAGAATTAATCTTGCGATCATTTACACTTGGCACAGTTTTTTCTTATCTGTCGAAAAGTCGCTGTTAAGCAAGCCGGTTTGGTTTAATCCCTCCTGGCTGTAAACCGTCTAATGGGCACGGTAGCGCATAACACCTTGGTAATCCAAGGCGTGTTACGGCTTCGTCAACGTTCCCTAGCGGTTCCAGTATGGAGTTCAACGTGAGCCACTGGATTTCCTAAGCGCCTGCACCACAACAAAGGGGCGTTTAGAAGGTCCAAAAAATCAGTTGTTGCAAAACTAGAATTCCTCTTAAATACATACATATCGTCGTTTAAAGTACAAAACCGCGTATCGTGATTCTGCGAAACCGCGTAACTGACATTGGCTGCCAAAAATTGGATTTGCTCACACAAGCTCTTGGCTCAATCCTTATCCATTCGTCCTGAAATATACTAGGCAAATATGCGATTGCTTTATAAAAAGGAGAACCATTTTGAAATATGAGTATGTTTACCCTCTAGAAAATAATTTCTACAACTTCACATACGCGGTTTTGCATTTTGTTGATACGCGGTTTTGCACTTTAAACGACGATATGTATAAATAGATAAGCGAATTCCTAATATATAGTTTAAAATTTTCACCAAAAAATTTATTAAAACTAAACCTTTCACAAACACTTTCGTAATTTTCTCGCAGGTGCTTGGAATTTGGATCTTGTTGAGTGGATCGGCAGTTAGCGTGGAAGAATAAAAGCTCAATCACTTTCTGAAATAAAATACTTCGGTAACAGCAACTACAGCAATTCACATGGAATAAGCAAATAAAATCAGTCGATCAGACGGCGGCGCACATTAAATGGTGTGCGCCGACGGTGTACTAAAAGCAAAAAAAACTCCAATATATATAGTATATATGTATATACATATATACATATATACGAGAGATAATTCACGTTAATTTTCGTAAATTTAGTTACATAGAACAGCAACTAGTAGCTTATCGTTTATGTGTATAAATTTATTTAATGCCTTACTTAGTTTCTTTGACTTTTTTTTTTTTAAATGTTGTAAAATATTCATATACATACTACTCTCAAACATATAAGGAATCGCTTTTTGTAAGCAATTAAATATATACATACACGCAAGCACACATAGATACGGGAACCCACTAAAAATACTTACGTATGTACATACATTTGTTCGAACTATGTGTAGTAACGATATCAAGCATTACAACTGTATATAACTTTCACTTCACTTTGACTTCAATTTACTTTCGTTGGCGATATCTTTGCTTTATCTTTTTTTTTTGACCCCATCAGCATCTAATATTCTATTTCTTTTTTCAAAATTTAAACATTAAAAGCCCTTAAAAAGTTGAATGCAACAAAAAAAAAATAAAAAATATATATAAATGTATAGACCACCCACACGAAAATAGCAAAAAAATGTAAAAAAGAGTAAAAAAAAAAATTAAAACATGAAACATTTCTGTATGTAAACCTAATAGTTCATGTTAGATTAGCTGCTTGTGCAAACGCGACAAAATGAAATACGTAAGTGTGTGCGACAAGTTTTATAGTTTTCTTGCTAGCCGATAGCTAGAGACGTCGGCAAACATGCAATATAAATGATCGGGTTCATTCATGAAATAATACAAAATTAAAATTCACTTACACGTTGTGTACAAGCATACATATGTACATACATACATATTGTGAAGAAGGATGCGTACGCAAGCAGCAGAGTAGAAAACCCCGTCCCGAGAAAAAGTGAACAAAATAATAATAAAACATTTAAGCTTTATTTATTTTCCGCTTTGAATGTGCTAAAGAACAAACTGATTCGGAATCGCGTTAGTACAAAATTAATTAACTGAACAACCAAGCGTTAGTAGTCAACGCAGCAACATTTCACAAATTAGTTCTCTATGTGTTTATACCTTATTTCTTCCAGTCAACGATTTTTGCTGATCCAATTGTCGTTATTCTTTTTAATGCATAAATTAGACCAGAAACATAAAATCTATAAATCTAGCTTTGTGCATTTGCCTGCATGGCATTCTCGCCAAGTAATTTGCTTTTCAGTCAAGTTTTGGCTAAATCAATCTACAATAATCTAAATTTTTATAGAGGAAAAAAATTAGCTTGAACTCGAAAACAATATATCGCACGTTTAATATAATATAGAGATGTTTTGATTGGTATGAATTGGATAGCGAAATATTAATACTTGTAATTTTATGCACACAGAGTGATTCACTTAAAACTGATGCGTCTCGCACATTCTTTAGCGGAAAATGTCAAGGTAATATACCAATTCAAATAAGTAAAAATATTTGAAGTTGGGCCATTAACAAAAGAAACGAAAAAAAATATAAACGTGGTAATAAACTCCATCTCCATTTACTGTGTATAAAAAATTTGTTTGTTAAAGCCACGTTGTTCTTTGCAGCCATGCACTAAAAAGAAAACAAAACAACAACACACATACATTTTTTTAATTGGATTTCAAACCTTTGAAAATATTGGAAAAAGCGCAAGCAAATTGTGAACCGCTTGCGCATTATCTCTCTTTTTTTTGTTAATAGNGTTTATGGTCCGATTTGGTTTGAATTCGGCGTATGTAGTTGTAAATACATAGATTTCCAAAAAATTTACTCTGAATTGGCACTGAAGTCAAAATATAAAGTATATTCGGCATAAAATGCTGGTTTTATTTGCTTTGAAAATTCAATTAAAAGCAATATTAACAAAAATATAACAATGGTTCTATTGTTTTCATTTTTCGGCTAAATATAGAGCTAATTATGTGCTATACAAGGGTGTAAAAAAAAGTAACAGAAAACAAATGTTTTCCTTTTCTGTATCTCATTGAAACGTACGACTGTCACGCATGTGACGTATGGAAATACCCATATAATAATCAGCCTGCAGCCTCAATTTTGGTAAAATCAACTAGACACTGTCTGGTCAAAAATGAAGACTAATTACGGTGTTCGCATGAGGCGATTTTCCAGGCAATTTTAGAGGCGACTAGTTGAATACCGTATAAGAAACGCAAATCTAATCGCATTCATAACTGTAAAATGCTCAATATTTTCAGATACAAAAAAGTGGCAGCATTTACATATGCAAATACATATCGTTTAAGAGCGCTGAAGCTGAACATTCGCACATTGGGGCAAATGCTTTTTGAACCAAATTCTGATTCAAGTTTTGGTTAGGCGCTTAATCAGACATTGGGCAAACGGTATTAACTGTTTCTGACACTGCTGTTGTAGCTATTGATTAAATGTTTCCGTTAATGGAAGCAGATGCGATCTTCTTCAGACAACAGTCACTTAGGCGATATTGATGGCGGCCATTACCGACGCCTACGTTCGAAATGCTTGCATGTAAATCGACATTATGCGATATACATATTTACACATTTTCAAAAGCCGTTGTTAAACTATTTTTGTATTGAACTTTATTTGAGTATTTGTTTTTTTTGGGTTTAACGAATTTTTTTAAGCCGACCAACAAAGTAGAAAAAATATACGTTTTTTATGTGAAATTTTAGCACATTTCGGCTAACTTTGATGTTGAAAATCTCAAAGCGTCTGTTAACGCATTTTGCCAATGTCGTTGGTGTAATATCTGCAATGCAGCCAATAGTTTATTAAGTTTTTCCTTGTTGTTTTTCTTTAATAAAGTTAATCGTTTTTCGAGAGTAACTTAAATTTTGCTGTTAAAATATTTCGTAAATTCTGTTTGATGTTGATACATATTTTATTTTGTTTGATATTTATGTATTTGTTCTTATAAATGTTGTTGATTGATTTGTAGCTACATATACATACATATCGCTCATTTACTTCAATAGTGTCATAATCAAAAATATATACAGTCAGTCAGTCAATAAAGCTTAGGTACAGCGAATTTTTTCCAATATGGGCAACTATTTTTTAAATATTTTATTTTTCGCTAACTTTGTATAAAAATATGGTTAATTCTACAACCAAATCCCCAATAAGCAGAGTTCCAAACTTCGTGCCAAATCAAATAAAATTTTGCAAATTTTCATTCAAAAATTTGCACTTATTCTTTACACTCTTTAGAAAAAAGTTGAGTATGCAGCTTTTTAGCCGATTCAATTTTTGTATAATAAATTATCGAAAATTACTTTATATGGCAAAAATGAGCGACGCCTTTAACAAAAAAAAATGCCAAAAATCAATGGTAAGTTCTAGCTACATCAGACTTGTACTTTATTATACTAAAATTGAGTGGGCTAAAAAGCTGCATACTAAACTTTTTTCATAGGGGTGTAATTAGAAAGTGCAATATTTTAATGAAAATTTGCAGAATTTTCTTTAATTCTGTACAAGGTTTGGAGCTGTGATTTTTGGGGTCTACGTTGTAGAATTAACCATATTTTTATAAATATTTGCGAAAAAAAATAATTAAAAAACAGTTGCCCGTATTGTAAAAAAATCGCTCTACCTAAGCTTTATTGATTGACTGTAAATTTTGAGTTAAGTATGCAGAAATTACCGCTACCTCTTCTTTTATGTTGTGTAAAAATGTCATAGCTGTATCGATTACCAGTAAACTCACTAAAACAAAATATGTATTCCATTTTTACTATGGGAGTATATATGTATACACTATGGAAGTAAATGAGCGATATGTATGTATATTTAAAATAGTTTAAATATCGCAACTAAATCTCCAGCAGTAAAGTAAATGAAAGATACGAAATGTCCTAATTATTTTATTTGATATTTTTGACCATTTAATTGCGAGAAAAATTTGCAATTTTCCAATTTCCTCTTTTTGAAAAAAAAATGCGCAAACGTTCGTTTATTTTTTGTTTTCTATTTGTAACGGTGTTTAATTTCACTTTCCCTCCATTATATTAATTTCCAATATACCACACTTGTGATAAAGTGTTACTTTATTTTTGTTTTAGCTTAATTGTGTTGGAAAAATAGAACTACGCCAAAAAGTATATTCCGCAAACTTTGTGTAAGAAATTAATTCAGTAAATAAGCACGAAAAATGTTTCAAAAATTATTTCATAATTTGTTCTACTTTTTTTTCTAAAAACAAATGGCTAATCTTAAATTATGCCTTTAAATATGATGAATGAAAAGAAAGGCAAAAATCAAGCTAAATTGGTAAATAGAAAAAGAATAAATCTTACAATTAAAAAAGGGAAGCATATTAATTATGGTAGTAAAAGTATTTAATTAAGTAACTACTATAATTACTAATAATAATTTAATAGAAACGCGCACTGTATTTTGATTTATAATACATAAATGTATGTAGGTACCAATTTCATCTATATAAATATGTATATTTAACGAGTATATAGTGTTAGTGACATCTATAGAATTGTGTGAATGCGACTAGGCAGCAACTGAATATGTTTGGAAGCGCGATTGCACTAAAACAAAGTGAGAACATGTACATAAGAGCGTTAGGCAAAATTTTGTGAAAACAAAAAAAATTGAAAAGTGAATGTGGGCATGCCGAACAGAGTTAAGCGCTACTACAGATAAACACATGCAAACACATACACATATAATATACATACATACATGCATTGTATGTATAAACTGTAAAACGAATAGCGTTTCCATACAATTGTGTATCTATGTATGGAATTGTTGGTTGTTCAAGTGTATACATTCTATTATGTTTTCATTTTTTAGTACAATATGTATTCAATTGGGTGAGCAATTTTCACATGATTTTTTTAACCCGTGAATAGCTCCCCTAATAACAATACCCCTTCAGTACAGTTGCGTCACTGCAACACTACACTCAATAAGCTATCACCGCAGTCTTTAAGTAGTTGCATACATGTCCATACATACATACATATGAATATGAATTCTATTAGTCAATGAAAAATAGTCTATTTGAAGCATACATAATACATACTACACACATACATACATGCAACAAATATGTATGTACATAAATAAATAGTGCCCTTACAGATAATTTAGTATGATTTCGAATTATGAATAGGCGAGCGTTTTTGTTTTTTTTAAAAAGTTAGTTTTGTTTTATTTTTTTTTCTGTTGATTATACCTATAAAGAGAAAAGAATGTCTACATATTATACATATATTCATTTTTTTCCACAAAGCGCATATTCAAGTGTTTCTCTATAGTCAGCTGCGATATTTCGCTTATATTAACGGATATTAACCGGATATCGGGATAACAACAGAACGGATATCCGCATTTTGTCCGCAGGCACTGATAGTCCCAGCCCTACTATCGACCGGAAAGATGTCCATTTGTTTAAATGATGTAACAGACAGACAAGCTCTCTCGTCCTCCTTACTCTAGACCGGTGATGGGCACCGCCTTGCCGGCGGGCAAAGCTCTTTTAAGCTTTCTGTACATTTTTTATAGGCGCGCGCAGAGTAAAAGCTGTATCTGCCCATCGCTGCTCTAGCGTCTAGACGAGTGTATAAAAAAAAAAAAAGCTTTAAAAAGCTCTGCGCGCAGGCAATCCTTTAATCATTTTTTCACCCCCACTCCACCAGTACGCGATCAGGAAAATTATAGTTTTGGCTCACCCAGCAAGTATTGAGCAAGCGATAATAACGCTAATAGAAAGGCTTCACATATACAGAGTGTTGACAGTTGAATTGTATGTAGCATTCTTTTTACGAAGGGTTTAAAACTCGACAACTTCAATTGCAATGCATTCGAACAAGACGAATGTTCCGTAAAGCATCAGCAAAATTTATTACATTGCATCGTATTTTGAAATACATCAATACGGTAGTCGGTACACAGTAAAAGAGAGAACTGTGCATTAATAAGAATGTTGATGCCTTTTGACCTTTGTATTTGGTGCTATGACGAATGCCAGTAGAAGGATTTTCTCTGATAATTTTCAATTGAATTATAATTGATATGTATTAATTTTATTAATATGGACAAAAATGGATCGAAGGAAAATGGTTACAATTTTCTTAAATATTTGAACGATTTTTGTGATTGTATTTTCGACAAAACTGAAAAAACTATAAATAATTATGCATTTGGCGCTAACTTTATCCATTTTATTTGCGTGAGCTCACCATTAAAAAATAAAATACAAACCGCTGACCTTATGAAGGTAATCACTATGCAATGTTGTTCGACGTGCCATCTGATGCTATAAAAATACTGTAGTCAAACTGTATCGATACTTTGCAGTGGCAACTATTTATACCTTTCATGAAGATGAAATGCTACAATAACCTTGGTGCGATGTTTGTAAGTACAGGCAGAAGAAGAGACCCATACAAAAGTTTTCAAAAATGTTTAGGAGGACGAGTTGAGTCGATTTACTCATATCTGTCTGTATGTCTGTTTGAACGCAAACAAATCGCTCAGTCTTAAAGATCCCCAACTGAAATTTGCAA